GCTTTGCAGCTTCTTTTCAAAAGCAATTTTGAATATTAACATTCTAAACTTCTAAATTTAAAAAGTACATATACAACTCACTTTTCAATTTCTATTCTATTAAAGATCCTCATAACAGACTTACATAAAAAAAAAATGGTTATACAACTGATCCAGCAAAAACTCACTTCAGAAATATCACCAAATATGCTGAGTAAATGGAAAGCTACTTTCTATGTAAAACTTCTAAACTCTGAAAGCAAATTTAAAATTAAACCCATGGTCTGAACGTACTAGTCAGACTTGAAAGCAAGCTTTTAGCAACATCAAAAAAACAAAAACCTACTTTTTTTTTTTTTGTAATCCAGAGAAAAGCTTCTAAAATGTGAATGGTCCTGGAAGCAATTCCACTTCTCTTAAAAAACAAACCTACCACCAAACCCCACCTCCTTTAGAGCCATCCTAACAGTCAATACTCAAGGAACAGGGAAGTCAATCACTTCTTCTGCACTTGGGTGTTGGGGGGTGTTCAAAGCAGATGGGAGAGCTTACTCTCCTTTGTCATCAGACTTCTCTCATCCCTGCTTTACCTGCACAGTTACAGCAAGGGAACAGTTTTTACAGTAATTAATAATTACTTAAACAGCAGTTAACACTAACTACACAGATAGAATCTATTCCAGCTTCTTCCTCAACTCTTCGCTACATTTCATTACTCTGACTTGCCTCTTTCCACCCACCCTGTAACTTCCCCTTTACAATGCAGGCAGTTTCCATGCTCTTGTACTTGCCCTAACACCCCTTTTTATTTCTGACTGCTGGTCAATGATCACACTCATTTAATCAGGAGTTAACCTCCTGCCCTCCTCTACTGACAGGTTTCTAACACAGGAACCTAACACAGCTCTCTGTTTAGGGCTGTTTGCTGTCCCTTTGCTATGAGGACTCTGAACTCCTTCAGGAATCACTAGAAACAAAGCAAACCAACACTTCATGAAAGAAACTTCCCTCACTACTTCAATAAAAATAGGAACTCGTTATTTAAAGTATTCCATTCAGTCTCTAATAGCAGTAGGATGTTTAATCTTAGAAGTCTATTACAGTCATTAACAGTGGTCACTGACAGTATTCTTAACTGACAATTAAAAAAAAAAAAAACCAAAAATGCAAAACAAACATTCACAAAGCTTCACTTATATTGTGGAATTAAAGTATCACAAGTTATAAGCAAATTTCATGAAAGTAGCCTACACAGCACAACAGCACACAATCCAGCAAAGATTTCATGCTATGTACACTAACACTCTCCGCTAAGATCATGGCATGAAACAAAGTTTTAAAGTCTCTTAAACATAAATATAGTGAAACACACAGTATTTTCATCACAAAAAGAAACAACTGAATACAGGTAGCTTAACTGTACTAAACTTTTTTGCTTCAATTTCTACTGTGTGTCTTAGTGGGTCATTCTGCTCCATACGTTTTTTTTTACTAGAGTTGCATCTTGCATTTTTACTCCTAAATTATATATATATTACAGTATTTTCAAAAGTACTCTACTATCCGGACTCTTAGTTTTCTTTCCTGTACACCAGGATCTCCCCATTTATGCATATAAGACGACCTACAGTGGTCATCCATGCTCTCAGTTTATCCATCCTCAAGCATGAGAACCCTCAAATCTTTTTATTTCCCTTTTTCTTTAATGGAAACATTTCTTCCACATCTACAAGGCCCTCCATAGTCCTATTCCCCACCAACAATGCTGGCTTTAAGTCCCTATTTGTTACTGTTTAGAAACTTCACACTTGAGTTGGTCTCACAAGATCCCCTAATCTCTTCAAACCCCACACTTGCCTATAGCAGCTGACCTATAAATACAAGATGCACTGAGGGGGGGAGCTGTTCATTATGTTTTAAACACTTGAATACAGAGACAATGTCCCCATGCACAAGGACCTGAAAGCAAGAACAAAGTAAAGGCAGTTTTTTGATATGCTGGATGTACAAGTACTCTCAGGAAACCAGGGATGTGATAAAAACTTACAAGTACTTCACTGTGTTTAGGCCAAGATAAACCTGGAAGTCTCTCTCCAGAGAATGACTGTCTCTGCATGCAGTCTCTTTCCACAGAAACTGTGCAGTAAGCAACTTTGAAACATGCTTTGTTTGCACTGTAGCAGTATGGAGGGCTTACCCACAACACGTTTTAAAACCTTAACTGAATTTCTTACCATGGGTTACAGTTCTACGAACACAAAAGTTTCTGACGTGTATTTCGAAAATAAGCTGTGACAACAAATACCTTTATACAGGTAACACAGATACTAATAACTCAAAAATGGCAGAACCACCTCCTGTTAATTTTCAATCAATTTAATTATAGTTCTTATATTTCAAAATGTGTACACTTCAATCTTTAAATGAGACTTAGCCAGTTGTCTTTACCACAGAAAAGTGAACCACTCATGACTAAATCTGCATGTTACACCTGTGAACCTTCCTGTTTCACTTCAGAGCAAAAATCACAAAGAGATACAGAGAAATGCTCTCTTAATGTTGACTTGAGAGGCAGAGAGATCAGGTTAAATTGGCTTTATGTTCAGTATTAATACTGTGGGTTTCTGTCCTATTTTGTTTTCTGAGGTGTGAGAGAAAAAGAGATTGTTTGTTTGGGGCTATAATGCAATTTTGGGAAATAAATACTAAAGATGTTTCAGTGAGGTTTGTTTTTTTTAAGTTCAACTTGATCATAAGGCAGTAACATCTTTGCAGTAGTTTCAAATCAAGCATCATGGATTTTAAAATAATGCACAGCAATTACAAAAAATTAAGACCACACAACTTTTTTCTTTCCCTCAGAATATAAAAACAAGCCAGAAGACTACAGTAGCATCAAAGCAAATCAATACTCTTCAGTCATATCAGAGCTTAGATGAAAAACGTTAGCACTTTAGTATTTTTCTTTTTTTCTCCACTATATGTGTGTAATTGCAAAACTAAGTGAATACTATAGCAATAACAGCGCTTCAGTGTAATTCAATAGAGAGAGAACAGGGTAGATTATTTTGTCTTTTGTGTATTATACCACAGCATTTCACTTACATTCTAACACCTACCTTCAATTCACACTGACAGAAATATTCAGTAAATCAAAGACAAATTGATATCCTGCTGCCCACGTCTGCTCAGCTTTGGTTTGCTATGTACAATACACAGGATTTAGGGGAACTTTGGTTGGTTGGAATATATTTCCCTGCATCCATACTAACCTTACTAACAACACACAAAAAATACTGATTTCCATTAAACATACAAACGTTCAACTTTTAAAATTAGTAATTTCCCTCAGACTGTTGAAGACTGCTTCCTTCTTCCACTCTGTTAACACATGATGTGCAAACTACTCCTTTCAGATCACAATATATGAAACTTTCCCCTGTGTTAACAGCCAGGAGGAGGTACAGTGGAATAGTTTTCCTTCCATTTACAAAATTACAAATAATTCGTTTTCCTTCATCCTTACTGTGCACATCCATGCTCCAGATCATTCCCCAACTATTTATTAAATCCAGCTGGACTCAGTAAGAACTTCAAAATGTCTTTCCTATCTAAAAAACAATCCCATCACACAAATAAGCAGATACACTCCCCACATAGAGCCTCATCCTCCAGATGTTTTCATATATGCATAACTCCACTAAATGTAGCTCAGTTGAAGTAGAAAAAATTACTGACTGTAGCAAAACTAAGAAGAATTGCAGAAGTATGTAGGACATGCTCATCTCTTAACAGGTGAACGGGAAATAAAAGCGGACACCTCTGTATCCCAAAAAGTAGCAGAGAATAGCAGCCTATGGGCATTGCACATGCATTTAATACTGAGATTACACTTTCACTTATGATCAGATATAATGAAAATCAGTGTACTAACAGAAGATACATATTTTTATAATCCATCTACACACTTCTATGACATTATCAGTGGTCTACAGAGCCTCTGCACTAAGCCAAAGAATGAAAAACAAATAGGAATTGTAAGAACAATTGGGTACCATAAACACATTTGTGGTGTGGAACTCATATTTTCTAAAAAGTACTTTTATTTTATTATAACTATTATATCAGGTGAAACTAGTGCAGCAATAATGTATCTGTATAGCAATTGTATATCTGTATATACAATTTGTTAGCTTTATACAGAAAAAAAGCACTGGTTTAAAGCTGCAAGTTCTCTACTTGAATACTCCAGTTTATAACTTAATACAGAGAGCAAATGCCAGAACAGAGAACACTTTTCCAAATTCAAACAGTAACTGCAATTTTCTAAACTACAACTGCTTGTTACCTTAATACTATTTATTACATGGAAAACCCTACTCTTTCCTTTCTCTAGAAAGTGAGGATACAAAAGAGTATCAGTTAAAAAATACTAGGGTTATAACTACTGTCTTATAATATCATGCAAAAACACAGAAGGAAGACTTGACTGTGAACAGACTCCTTCAAGCTTCTGTTGAGAAAGGCTCTAGTATGTGCTACCTTTGATTACCATCTTCTGATTATGAAGAGTTCTATAAAGCAGCTAAATATAAAGCTTTTTTTCATTTCTGATGGTGTTTAGTCTATGAAACATGTACCTACACAGTATAGCACCCCAATACACAAAGTCATTAAAATATATCCAAAACACTCTATATTTATTGCTAATAAAAAATCCAGAAAATTATTTCATGTTATCAAATGTTGCAGTATGTCTAAAGTAAATGAGACATACCAGTTTTAAAGAAAAGTTTATTTAATCTTTGGGGTTATAAAGAAAACTATCCTACCTGTAAAAATCAGAAAATTAATGGGTTTCACAATGCCTAAATGAAGCACTTTGACTTCACTGCAGTCTTCCAAGCACAGTACAAGGCACATTTAGAGTAAGACTCATCACCTTAGTGATAATGGCTAAATTTTAATATTAATGAGAAATTAGTAATTGGTTAAATAAAGGTTGGTTAAAGGTAACTCACCACCATCCCTCTCTCTAACTCTGTGAGTATGCACACTTTTTGCTTTACTGTGCCCTGTGTTGTCACTATATTTGTTTTCAGGGCTGTCAGAGCGTCGCAGCATTTTATTTGGTGGTGAAGGATCTGTGGTGTCTCGCATCTTGTCATGACGGTGATCACCACCACTGGGGTGACTCTTGGATGAGTACTTAAGAGCCTGTAACAAATCACAAGAAAAAAAACATTTACATTACATATGAAGTTTCTGGACTGATGTTAAAATGTTATTTCTAAATTTTACATCTGTTTCAAAAACTTTTAAAAGTTAATTAATTTTCATCTCCAATTAAAAAAAATAAAAATCAGCGTCTAATTTTAATTACCTACAATAAAGCAACAAGTTCTGTAATTAGAACTCCAACCATTTTCTCCCACTATCATATCCAACGTAACACTTGCTGTTAAGAAAAACCTAGTTTCTCTGTTTTTTCACTGATGGACTACACACTTTCAGCAGTAATCAGGCCACAGTTCTGCACTTTTGGGAAAAGGACAAGTCTCCACTTTGGACTAAACATACAAACAGAAAGCTACACTGAATCAGTGTAAACTTTGAGTATGTCCTCCATACTCTTGACAAGACCATTCGGTTTCACCATTACCTTGAAATTCTGTGGTTTTTTTTGAATACTTTCAACCTCCTCTCAACATATGTAATTAAAAAAAAAATAATTCTGGATGACCCAAACATGCGATGTAATGACTAATTTTTAAGTATTTACCAAAAATTACATGTTCTGCCTCACTTTGACCTGCTCGGTTTTGCTGTGAGAGCTCCTGAATGGCCAAGTGTTTACACCTACATGAGCTGTCACTGACAGCTGCCTTGGACTGCTGTATTGCACTTCACAGCCATACAAGTACACGGGAACACAATGAAACAGGTCAATTCTGGGCCTAAGGAGAGTAGTATCTCAACATACAGCTCTCCACAGATTCACACACCAACAATTGTTTTTTTAGTGGACATAGCAAAGAAATAAGATATCTATCATACAGAAATTGAGGTTATTGTCAGAAACCCGAGGATTTTATGGCTTCTGAACATGCCTAGCAGCTGGCAACTGCAGAAATTAAGCCTTACTGGCAACCCCAAGTTGTTCAGGGTCTAAAGGCATGCCCTGCTCAGGTTACAGCCCACAGCAGCAGTTTTAGGGAGAAGAAAGGACTTTGGGCAGGGGGGCTTGGGGGGGGCAAGAACAAGACACCTTTTGTTTTTAAAAGGAAAACACTCACCTCCCCCTGGTTCTCCGCTCCGCCGCAGGTGACCCCGGCCCGCTCCCCCGCCCCTCGCACCTCCCCGGCTCCCAGGCCCGGGCCCCGCACGGCTCGCACTAGGCCGCTGTTGCTCGCCCCGGCCCCGCAGGCCTGTGCCGAGCGCCGGGGCCCCGTTCCCCGCTCCGCGGCCGCCTCCCCGCCCCACGGGCCCGGGAGCGCCGCCGGGGGCCGGGCAGGGCCGGCCGCGGCCTAAGGTGGCCGCCGGAGCCTCCGCCGGAGTAGCTCCCCCCCGCCCCCCTGCTCCTCCTCCCGGCCCCGCGGTACCTGGTAGGGCTGCGAGTCCCCCCTGCGGTCGTGACAGCTGAGGAGAAAGCGAGAGAAAGAGAGAGGCGTTAGCGAGCGCCCGTTACCGGCCCCGCGGCCGGGCCGAACATGGCGGAGGGGGGGGGGGCGGCCCCGCGGGGCCGGGGGAGGGGGGGGATTTACCCATCACTGAGTCTCTGCTGTTTCCTCGCATACATTACCATCAATGCCCGGCCTGTGTGTGTGAGGGTGAGGGGACCAGGAGGGCACGGCCGCGGCCGGGCCACAGGCGCCGAGGGGGGAGGCGGGGGCGGCAGCGCTCCGGGGGCAGGGACGGGGGGAGGGGGCGGCTCGGGCAGCTCGGCTGGAGCGGCGCTCACGGGCCCATCGCCTCGAGAGGGGAGACGCCGGCAGCTCGGCCCCGCGCGCGCTGAGACACACCGGGAGCACCGGGAGCACCGACTCGGCCGCCGCCTCCCCCCGCCGCGCCCGCCGCCGCCGCTGCTCCAACTACATCCGGGGAACTCGGGCGACGCCGCGCTCGGTCAACGTCGGCTCTTTCCGGCTCTTTTCGACGCGCTCCGTCCCCTCTGTCCCCTTTGCTCTCGGGCGACTCTGCCTTCGGCAAACATCGGCTGCGTCCGCCGCGCCCGACGCCCCTCAGTCCCTCCCTCCGGCAAACATCGGCTGCGTCCGCCGCACCCGACACCCCTCAGTCCCTCCCTTCGGCAAACATCGGCTTCTTCCGTAGCGCTCGTCCCTCCCTCCCTCGCCCGCCTCGGGCCCCCTCTCGCGAGCGCTACCTGTCTTCGGAAAACATCGGGTATTTCCGGAGAGGCGCTTCTGCGCGGCCGGTCAGGGCGGTGCCGCGCTCGGAAGCGCTCGGGTATTTCCGTGAGCCCTCGCGGGGCGGCGCGGCCGTTGGCGGGCGCGAGGGAGCGGCGCCGCGGCGGCAGAGCCGCCACCTCGGTGGGGAGGAACCGCGATCCCGCCAGGCAGGTGGGCGCAACAGTGGGGAACTGCGGGGGGAGGCAGGCACGGGAAGGTCTGCTCTTATCTGCCCCCTCCTCCCCTTCCGCCCGGGGGCTCGGTGCGCAGGCAGGAGCCATTTTGTGCGCGGCGCGTGTTCGGCGGGGCCGCGCGGGGCGGCGAGGAGAGCGTTAAGATGTCCCTGGGACCGCGAGTGTCCCGGGGGGCCGCGGGTGGAGGGCTCGTCCTGGCCTCGGCATAGCGTTCCGGGTCATCCCGGTGTGTTCGGGGGCCCCCGGGCCCTCTGCTGTGCCCTGATGGTTCTTCGCTGCTGGCGGTGCCCGCTGAGCCCCTGCCAGGACGAGATGGTGCCCGGCGACAGGACGAGGAGCGATGGCCATAAATTAAAACATAAGTTTCACGTCAATATGAGGAACTACTTAACGTTGAGGGTGGCTAAGCACTGGGACAGGCTGCCCACGGAAGGCGTGGAGTGTCCTCTCTGGAGACATTCCAAACCCACGGGGAGCTGTTCCTGTGTCACCTGCTCCAGGTGACCCTGCCTGGGCAGGTGGATTGGACTAGGTGATCTCCAGAGGTCCCTTCTGACCCTAACAATTCTGTGATTCTTGGTCGTTTCTGACCACACCCTCGAAGTCTGTGGTACAAAGCATCATATATTCAGGAGTGTGTTAATGTATTATAGGAGCCAAAGATTTTCGGTAAAGGTATAAACGCAGATGCCAAATTTTGTCCTTTTTCCTTGGTGAAAAGGGAAGAGATGTGGCACATTTCGGAACGAGCATGTTAACCTTAAACAGAGCATCTTGCCCTATAGCTCTGAGTTGTTGCAGCATTATTCACGGTAACGTTCTGAGAGATTTTTTTTTTTTTCTGTGTTTGTTGTATTTTCCTATTAGAGTGCAGAAGGCCGTTGCCGAACAGGGACTTCAGGGAGCAGTGGCAGAGCTCAGGGAGGGAGCGCAGGATGACTCAGCAGGGAGCTGTTCTTCAGGGTTACAATAATGAACTAGTGAAATGCATTGAAGACTTAAGTATGCAACGAGAAGAACTGAACAAACAAATCCAGCAAGCAGAAGAGGAAAGGAATAAACTCCAACATGAAATCCAAGTCCTGAGTGAACAGCTAGAGCATGTATGTGAAAACCTAGCCCAGAAGGTGGCTTCACGGAATGAGCTTGATAAAATCCTTGCTGAAACTGAAGCTGCTTACATGAAGATTTTGGATAGCTCTAGAACTTTACTTAATGTCCTGAAGAAGGAAGTGGGAAGCTTAAGGCATTCACCGGATCTGAAACCCAATGTAACGTGAAACAGTCAAATGTTTGGACTCTACAGTGCTAAAATTCCACTGGGTGAGAAATGTGGTTAGCCACGGAACCTTACAGCAACAGTATAAGCAGAAAGGGATTTTCTTCCAACCTTTCTGTATGTTTTATTATTATTGCTTTTAAATGCACTAGAAAATAGATTAAATAAAGTTGCTGGTTTGCTTAAAAAATCTAATTACTTAAACACTACAAAATTATATTGCAGAAAGGTAGTTGAGGCAGATATGAGACTGTCAGTTTTGACATGGTGATGCTTCAAGACTTCTGAAGACAGCAAAAGAAAGGCATGTTTTATTGGTTGGCTTCAGATGGCTATTGGTAGACTCCTGTTAGAAAACCAGTGGGTGCAAGTAGATCATCTACTACTTTTTTTCACTTTACAAGTTGTTAGGCTTTACTGTTGGACCAAGTAGAAATTAACTATTTAACTTCCTCTGGGAGCTTGGAGTTCTGTCTGATGCATGCACAAAGACAGCCCTGGTTTACTCTCATTTCCTACCTGGAATAATGGAGGGATAAGGTGAGGAAACATGACTAATGCAGAGCATGGAGGCTTAAACTATAAGACTGTGATTCATGCATCTTCTGAAGCTATTCTCAAAAGCTTTGTTTAGGAAGGAGTGTAGTGAAAGACAGGTTTGGTGCAAGTGCACGTGCCTCCAAATGCAGGGCACAGCACCACAGGCAGCTCGCCATGTAAACCTGGACCAGTAACTCGGGTAAGGAAAAGATGACTATTTCAGAAGTGACTAGAAGTCCTGAAAAAATTACTGGGTTCATTTAAAAATGCAGAGATAAATACAAGGCCAAAGAAGACAATCCTGGTTAAAAGCTAGTAATAGAATTTCTGGGAACCCTTTTAGTGCCTTTTAGCTCTATACTGATTATTAAATAATTGTAACAAGGTTGTAAAGAATAGTGAACATCCTGGAATGGTGAGAAATAAATACAAATGAAAATGAGAAGTGGTTTGCGTCTTGTCAGGCTTTCTTACACATGACAGTAAAGTAGAACTTAGTTTAGGAGGAGGACAGCAAGGCAGAAATCTTGATTTAATCCGGTTTGTCTGGTGAACCTCTCTGTAGTTGTGTTCTTGTACATACACATGCATTTTGTCCTGCACATTTTGTGTTATAGCAGTAACTTTTTAAGCTGTATCTTGTAGTCAAATCTTCATTCAATACCAATTAACTAAATTGAAAGAAGTGCAATTGTGATCTCCTTACTTGATAATAGTGTGTCTCTCAGGTGCAAGTATAGAGGGTAATGTAAGCGTGAATTCTTTCAGTAATAGCTGGTCACCAATCAAAGGAAACAAATTTTATGTTCTTCTAGTTGCCGTGCTACATGAGGGATTCGCGTGACCAAGCTAATCACAGTTTACTTGTATGGCATTTCCACTGGCTTTCCTGGGGTAATGCTGAGGTGATAAAATTAGGTAATCTCAGGGATACTGCTCTTGTTATAGTACCACAGCATTCAGGACCCCCTTGTTTGTGTTACACAAAAACTTTGCTATGTTTAGTAGCAAAAAGTGATTTATTTGACTGAATGTTTTATGACATTGTCTTTCCTTAGAACGATAGTAGTAACTGATTTACAACAAAATAGAAAGACTCAGGAGAAAGTATTAACTAAAGAATAGGAACTTACAGTTGCATATGTAAACTGCTGCTTCTTACTGTCAGCAAGGTAACTGAAAATCGTCTATGAAAAAGAATTTGTATCATGGAAAACTCATTTACAGAGAACAGCACAATTAATTTCTTTTATTAGTCTCACACAATAATTACAGGTTTCTTTGCCTTAGAACAATCATAAATAACGCCTCTTGTTCTACTGAGGCTGTTAAAACTAAAGTTTTAGAAGAAGTCATATAAGTCTTTAAAGAAGTCTACTTGCAGCCATTATTGCATGTAATTGTAGCTATTACAATGTCAAAACTAAAATACTGGAGATGCTTGGATTTTTTTGTTACAAAGCTAGGGGGAAAACATAACTCCTGGCTAGTAATGTAACTGCTGGGGCCTCCCAACATTCAAATAAAAAATTAAAATATTGTTAGAATTCCATCAGTGATCCCAAACTGTAAAATTTCATTTAAAATTAAACTTGAAAATGAGGAGAAATAGTATGTATCTCTAGGGCTTGCCTATTTGTTGAATAACTACAGAGTTACGTGGGAGTCATTCCACACCTGCAGAGTTGTTACTCAAAAATAGCACTTACCATTATATTCTGTATTGACCCAAATGAACTCACTGTATCCTTTTATTGAAGTAGTAAACCTTTTTCACTGTTTTTTCAGGTAGTATAAATCTTGACAGAAATAGTTTTTGTTAAGCAGCTTCAATTTGTTTAAAATAGGAGACCCTTATAGTCAATTGGTACATAGTATTGCCAGAAGAGAAATGATAATGTGCAGATTGCAGCAGCTCTGTAGGGCTGGCCTGGAACAGAAAGTTTACCTGAAATAAGGTAGGGTGTAAATGATGCTTAAAGCATCATACTCATTCCTGACTTAAGTTTTGTATCGAATTTATGTGACTGTCTGGGTTAGATTTGATGCTTTACTTGAGTGCTTTCAATCTAGGAGCCCTAATGACAAAAGTTGGGTTCCCAAATTCAAGTGCCTAATCTAAAGGGCTGTGTTGGATGTCTTGTATCTTACTTGATATGTGAGGAGATGCAGTTTTTGATACTCGTACCTGTGCTTCATTCAGGGATCTAGTGAAATGCACATAGAGCACCCTTCTAAAGCTTTTATGTAGAGGCACCTCTAAAGCATGTATGTAGAGGCACCTCTGCCTGGTTTCCAAGTAACAGTATAACTGGATATGGTGATTCCCAGCTTTTATAGCAATGCTTCTTAAATATGGACCCAGCACTTAATAACACGTTTGTCAAAATATTTGACTGGTGACTTCTTCCAAGTAAGCTAAGTTTATTCTGTGTGATAGAGTTTGGTGGTTATCAAAGAAACTACTTGTGGCTGGTGTGTTGAAGTAATTTTCTGTGTGGAAGTGATTATAGGAGCCACTGGGTGAAATGGTCCAGCAGCCATTCAGTAACTGTCCAATCCATAACCGTCTCTTTTTGTTGGTGCTTGCCCTGCAGTTCAGGTACCTCCCCACCTGCAGTTCCTGCTGATCACCTTAGAGAAATGGAGGTGAGTGGACTGGGGTTGGCCCTGATTTTTAGGGTAGAGAAGAAAAAGTATGGATGTGGAGCTGTAGTTTGGGAAGACTGGAGCATGAGGGGGTATGACAGAAAGACAAGTGGAGTTTCTCCTAATTTCTGTCTGCTTTAAGCATGCTTGTACTGACCTACTGCCTACAGCTTTTGCTACCCAATTAGTCAAATTTTAGAAATCTGAAGTTCATCTGAACTTTGGCCTTTCTTCCTTCCTTTAAGCCCGGTGACAAGTCAGCAATAGAGACAGCCTATGTTTTGCTTTCTCTTTCTGCTTTAACTTCTTTCTGGCCACACCTACCTGCATGCCCAGCTGCACAGTGTCCAGTTCCAGCGGGAAGCTGTGGAATCTGAGCCTCCCGTTTGCTGGGTGAATGTACTGCCAGGCTCACACAGGATACAGTGATATTGTTTCCTGCCCTGGTTGCTCTCCTATGAGCAGTCATCATTGAGCTACTTGGGTTTTGTAAAGAACCCTAAATCCTGTCTGTATTACACTGTATTACACTCTGTGTGTGTGTGAGATTGATCTTGGAGAATTTTTTTAGAGGGATGGCAGTTTTTTGGCTCTTAACTTACTGAATGCAAGAGATTTGTTTCCTTGGACTGTGAATTCTTCAGACTAGGAATACTAGGCATCTTCAAATACCCAAAGTTGTCAATTCAAACAATGAATCTTAACTCAGATGACTTTGTCTTGGTTTGCTGTTTCAGAACTGAGTATCTTAATTCCATCTAGTTCTTGCCGTATAAGTGTGTCCCACTCCATGTGGATTAAGTGGATTAAGCTAAATTTGAACAAGGTACTTGTAATTCTGGAGCAGGAACATTCAGAAGATTGTTAGCAAAAGCATCAAATGGCAACAGTTAACTGATAAGAATGAGTCTTATGCAGAAGACCAATATCTATTACTCCTTTGATTTTGCTTGTTAGGAGAAATTTGAATGAGAAGGTGTAGCTTGTGTCAGTTGCCTCAAATCTGAGTAGATCCCAGGCTCCTGCATTTTAATGCAAGTAGACAAAACAGTTCATTTATGTATTTTCCTTCTATTCATTAGTGAGTGAAGAAGTATCAATAGATGCTTTAATGTTGATTCGTTTGTCTGTGTATTGGTGGGGTTTTTTGAAGTGTGGATAGGCAAGTCTTACTAAAATGAGAGTGCTTTTTAGCTTCACTTTTAATCTATGTGTTTTTAAATACAGATGTAAATATTTTCTCCTCCTGGGGGAAGGACAGACTAGCCTTTTGTTTAGTTTGTGCACTAGTTGCTTTGTCAGTGTTTGTTATATTACTGGTGGGGAGTCAGGTACCGTGGCTGCTTCTTGGGTGTCTCTTCTATGTCTTTTTTTAAACTGAGAGTGGAGTTTTTTTGTTCTTTGTCCCTTAACTGCTTATAAATCTGTCTTTAATTTGTTGCCCTGGAATAGTCCTTGATTGTTGTCTGCCTCAGTTGGCTTTCAGATGAAGTTTTGTTCACTATTTAGCCGTAAAACCCATCTACTTGCATGTTGCTAATAAAACACGGAGAGGTTCTGGCTTGCAGAAAAGGGAGCTATATCTTATTTGGTCATTCATGGCTTTAGCCTGTGGGATTTATGTGAAGAGTGGTTCAGTGTTGTAGTTTGATTGTACAAAAATATGGTGTTAGTAGAAGTGAGGCTCCTAGAACACTTTTATTTTGTAATGGTTTCAAAAGTAGTTTACGAGATCTTGTGGGGTGGAACAATCTGTTTGGTTTTTCTGTCTATTTGTGCAAGACTATGGATATGCTGCAGTAACTACTACAGAAAATCAGTAAATTTTATTACAAACTTGGATATCTTACTTAGCAGCAACATTGAAAATATTGGTGTAAAATCTTAGCATTTTGATTGTAACAAGCCTGTTGTTTGCTACATGATTCGAAGCTGGTAATATTTGTAAGTATGCTTCATTTGAACATCATAAATGGGAAAATTTAACTTTTGGAATAGGATTTATCTGTATTAGATGGCACCTGTAGACAGAGATCACGTTCAAGAAAAGGCATTTGATAAAAGTCCTGTCAGTCTTCCCCTCGCAGTGAGATTGATCATGATTCCTCTGATTGTGATGGGAGCTTCAGGTTCTCTCACACCTCACTTTAGGGCCTGTGAGGTTCCATGGGATGGCTTCTCCTCTCCTCACCAGCACTCATGTGTAGAGTATGTGTTCTTGGCCCTGAAGGGCTTAGAACAGGGTTGAGTGTTTTCATTTATTATCTTTTATGAGGTAGACACACAGCTTCTTCGCCAGCCCAAATCAAGACCACAGGAGTGTTAGGTAGAGACTATAAAACAAAGTAAGAAGGAGGATGAACAAGTTTTAACACTTACTTGGAAAAATGTTTAAGATTATGATACCTAATAGACTGCTCACAAAGCATTTTAAAGTTAAATCTTCATAGGTGTTATTTTTTGAGCTTCGTATGCATAGATTCTCCTGCTTCAGCGAGAGCTCCTGTAATGCACTTGAGGTTTTCCATTGATTTCTGGTATAATATGGGAACACTTCTAGAAAATTATTTGCGTTTTAGTCCATGACAGATCTGTAACTTCAGGGTTTTTTTTAAAACCACTTCATATAGTTGATTTAGTTGAACTTAGTAAAAAAATACCATATTTCTTTCCTAAAGGCTTTCAAATCTCCCTCCCTGTATTCAGAAGTAGATCAAAGTATTATCTGTAGTATTCTTTTTTGTTGTTATGTGGTTATCAACATGTTGATACAACTTGGAAACCCATTCTGATCAGGCATGTCTGTCAGTTCCAGACACAAAGTCCTTTTCATATTCTGCAAGCTTTTTAAAGCCTCTTTTTCCTTATACAGTAAGAACACTTTGAGTTGAATATCAGCATGACTGTTGGACTCATGCAGTGAATGTTTTTTTTAATATAGTTAGTATTCAAGGCTGAATTATGTTCTGTCAGGTGTTTGAAAACAAAAAAAACTAACAGTAATTCTTCATATGCTTATGCAGCTGTTCAGTAAGAGAAATCCTGTTAGACATTTGTGTTTCTTGTTGCCTGAGAGTAAATGGAATTAAGTGCTGTAACTGATGAACCCAGAGTATTTTTTATTACATACTGGTCCTTCTTCAAGTATTGTAGCTAGGATGAAGGGAATGGATACTTCTTCCCAGGGGGGTGTGAGGCAAAAGAAGAGCTGCCTTTTTAGTAGAGACCACCCATCTGTGGAAACAGAGAAGCATCTTTGTTAGCCTGGTTCAGAGTCTGGTGCACGAGACGATTCAAACAGACTGCTTAGAAAGGTCTTATTTTAGTGTTGCAAGGTGCACTGAAGCAAGCTGAGAGAAAGAAAACCCAGTCCATGCTGTCAGTCAAGGAATGTGACACCTGATCGCAACCAGGTTATCTTTAAATGCAGGAGCTCAGGAACGGCTGGAAGCAGTGTAGCTGCTGCAGAACTGGGCTCAGCAAGGGATGTTTTGCCCTGAATAAAAGAGTTGGCCATGTGGGACACACGAAATCTGGTACGCTCCGGAGTCACTGGACTTGTTAGAAAAGTGTAAGCTCTTCCTGTTCTTGAACTCAGGGAATTCTGGGTTTTAGTGACATGCAGTACGAGATGTGAGTCCATGAGAAGGATATTGATTTAAAATCCTGTTCCCTTTAGTGGTTTTTCTCCAAAACCTAAAGTGTTGCTTTAGATTCAAGTTGTTCAAATACCTATGACCAAAAATACAGATGCCCAAGTTCCACTGAAGACCACAAACCCGTAAATGGTTCGTATTCACCGTGTAGTACATGTAGATCCTGGTCAAATGCAGTCTGATCCTTCAGTCAAGTTGCAAATTTTGTGGCTCCCCTTAGTAGCTGAAATGATTTGCAAGAAGTGTTGCTTGCTCAGTTTGGAATGTACTTTCAGTTTTTTGTTTGTTTGTTTTTTAATGCAGTATTCCACTGAGGCCTCCCCTGGCACTCTGCCATACACATTCATGTTGTGCATGTGAATATGTTTTCTTTGGGAATGTCAGATAGAAACTACCTGTACAGCAGCAACTTAATTGAAATAAGATTTGGTTTTATGCCATGATTTTGTTTTTAGCAGTTTTAAAATGATGCATATATAAATATATATATATATTTATGTAGGATATAAACAAAGGCTTCCATGAACAGATCACAGCGAATACCCTACAGAGAATGTTAATATCTTTATCCCTCTTGATAGACAGTGACAAGCAGTAGTAATCTGCCCCAAATCAGGGACAGATCTGGGAATGGAAGCTATGCTTTTTCAACCTCAACTGAATGCTCTGACTTGGACTGCTTCCCAGGGAGTCATGTCCTGTTTGGTGTTTTGTCATAAACCAGTGGGATTATGCATTCCCAACCTGTGTGTTGGGGGAAGGGATGGCTATAACTGATGAGATGCATACTTTTTTGCTGTTGCTCACTCCACATTGTGTGCAGCATCATGATGTTGTTTAAAAGTGTTACTCCTTTCTCCATGGGTGCACCCTGCATGACAAAGCATCCCAGCTCCAGTGGCCATTCTCACATTCTCTCCAAGCCCCTTCTCATCTGTGTTTGGGACCTGAGTGTAGGAGGTGGGTCAGAGGAACAGAAAGAACTTTTAATGATGGTTGGTAATTAATTACATTTCACAAGCCTAACCTTTTTCAGATAGCCCATCTTTATAGACCCTCCTGTTTTATGAGGCTTCTTATTACCTTATGTAAGACCACCAGGTTTTCTAAGACATGGAGTCTCCTTGGTGTTTAAATATAGTGGGATGCCTGAATTCTAGTCCATCCATAACAGCTTACAGACCCCGTAACAGCAACAGGCTGTCAGGCAACCATGTGCCACCACAGCTCGGTTTTGGGTTAATGGAATTGAATAGCATGGCAAGTGAGGAACTCCAGAGATCTGCATGGATAGGGCTCTCCTACAGTAAAAAGAAGCTGTCTGTATGAATTTGGCTTAAAAACTACTTAAATCTAGGAGAGGTGACACCTGACAGCAGAATTTTATCTCACATATCACAATAAATTAGATTAAAATGTGTACATAAATATACTAAACATTTTAATAAGTATAGAGAGTTCTTGGTAAA